CTTTCCATTGAGATGCTTGAGTCAGACCAAACGCAAATACTACACTATGCCTGCTTTCAAGGACTTTGTGATCTACAACACAAAAATCAAGTGACAGTGATTATAACAATATGTGAAAATATTACTCTGACCAGACCTGTGTAATTAAATACCACTCCTGGCTAACCTGGATTTCCATAAAATATTTCAATAAAATTATCACTGATATGTAACATGACATGTCCATATATCTCTTTGATGGAGACAAGAAGATAAAAAGTGAATTATAAACAACCTAAGTTGCTAGAAAGAACTTCATTCAACAATTTTTTATAGTAATAGATCAGGTCCATAAGGACTTGGTCTAGAGAAAAAGTAGGGTCCCAAGTACCTACCACTGATATGAGCATTACTAGACTTGAGTCCTGGCTTCGATATGAAGGTGTTGAATTTTATTATTATTAAGATACTTTCAAGATACATTATTCTGTGGTAATTATATCATAAAGTATCAATGGCATTAAGTACACATAAAATTCTGCAATGTTTGGAATAATTGGTTAGGAATAAATCAAATGCCATATACAGGTTGGAGCCAGGAATGTTTTAGATTTGAGACTTTTTTTGGATTTAGAATATTTGCATATATATAACAAAATATCCTGGGAACGGGACCACATTTAAACATGAAATTTATTTATGTTTCGTATCAACCTTTTACACAATATTTATAATAATTTTGTGCATGAAACAAAGTTTTGACTATGACCCATCACATGAGGTCAGATGTGGAAATTTTCTCATGTATCATACTGGAGCTCAAAAGTTTCAGAATTTGGAGCACTTTGGATCTCAAATTTTTGTAATTAGGGATGTTCAACCTGTGTGAACTATGTAGCCTTCAATAAGTTTCCTAATTCCTTTGATTTAAACTTTCCTTGGTTATAAAAGGGGAATAAAAACAGCTACCTCAAATGGTTTTTTGTAAGGTTCCAGTTATGGTATGCATGTTAAACATCCAGTACAGAGATTAACTCAGAAGAAGCATTACAAAAATAGAGTTATCTACCTAGAGCTGAAGAAGCCTGAGCTATGAATCCCTGTGTAATCATGGTTTTACTTACATAACTATTGCATACACAGGGCTACCCTAGAGTTAAGTGCTCAATAAATATTTTATGGACCAATAAATGCGTATTAAGTAGTTTGCTATTCTCTTGCTCCAACTTTATGTCCAACCAGATTTTGACAATTGATTGCATTGACTCAGTTTTAATCTCACTTATAGCACTTACTGGCTACATGACCATTGGTAAGCTACGTAACTTTTCTGAGTTTCAGTTTTTCTCATATATAAAATGAGATAAATTTTAGATTCCTTACAGGACTTTTGTTTAGATTAAGTGACATAATGCAAGGAAAGTGCTTCATACAGTATCTGGTCATAGCAAGCACACACAAAACTCATCCAATATTTCAAAATTTTATGCAGCTAAATTATGCTGGTAGAAAAATAACTAGGATGTTGGAATATGCATCAGTAGAATCTGTGACAAAAGTATATTGAAAACTAAAAAGACTTTGAATAGTTCAAATTAATTGAACAAGAAATACAATACGTAAATAGAAAGCATTAACATACTCCAATAGAGTGTACACATTTTACAGTCATATACACTACATAAACACCAAAATATCTGTCATATTAAAAATGAAATATTAGATTTCTACTTACATAAAATTACTTAATTTAATACTAAAACTAAGAAACAAATGGCTGGGTGACAAGCCTAAGAAATATAATTGATCAATAAGGATGGGAAATGAAAAAGGTGAATTAAAACCTCACTCCTGCCCATAATCATTCTTTCCAAATGCATTTAAATGTACTGATAAAAATCAACCTTCAGGGTGAAATAGGAGGTGAAAGCCTTTTTGCTTCATTTCAACCTTATCTATTAAGGTCATCATTTCTTATTTTGTTCTAATGCACTTAGCTAACAACTGAAAAGAAAGAGAACGCTCCACAATGATACTTCACTATATTCCCTGATTCCAATCAATTTTTACTCACCTTTACTGTACCCTTCCCTTGGGGCTTTAGACCTAGAGAGTTATTTTGAAAACAGAACTGTTTTCTGTAAACTTTTGATGTGAGGGAAAAATTTTGCTGACCATGTCTAGATTTTTCTCTCCTGAGGGAAAGTAAAATTTTTGTATATTGAATAAATGTGTATATAGAGAGTGAATTTAAAAGCCGTATTTACTCAGGAGGTAAAAGGTAGAGAGATGTTGGTCACAAACAAGTTGCCCACAAATTGAAGGGGAGCTGAAACTCAGACTGATGATGATATAAGCTGGTCATTTCTCAGTTCTAAAAGAATAAATGGGATATTTAAAATATGAGCTGTTAAGGGTAAATAAGTCTGTAGTGCTGTTGATAGTAAAGGCAAAGACAACATAATGGTAAACTAGAACAGTAGTAATACAGAGAGGTTGTAATAACTTTGAAAAAACAATTAATATAATTCACCACACCAGCACATTTTGTGAGAAAAATCAATGACCTTTAAATAAGCAAAAAGCATTTATTAAAATTCAACAAAATTTTTGTTCATTCATAAAAAGGAAAAAAAAAAAAAACCTTAGCAAACAAGGAATATTTTTAATCTGGAAAATACCTGTAAAATTAAGAGCAAACATAATAATGTTGAAATGTTAAAAATCATTTAATTGTCTACATCTGCGTTAATAGTTGTTGAACACTGAAGATATTCCACAGTTTAGCGACTTATTACCAAGACAAGGATGCTTGTTATTACCATTTCTTTTCCAAACTGCATTGAAGATCCTACTCGGTAATGTAAGGGAATAGAACAGACCTACAGGGATTGAAAAGGATTTTATGATTTCATTGACAGATAATGCAAAATAATTTATAAATAGATCATGGAATAAGGTAAAATTTCAGCAAGGTGGCTATTAACAAAATTCACTATAGAAAATCAAATTTCATTTGTAGATACCAAAAACTAGCAGAAAGAAAAGGTAATTTTAAAAATATATTTACAATAACACCAAAATATAAATTGTACTTATTTGTAAAGTTTTCTTGAGGACACACTAAAAAACTTTATGAAAGATATTAAAGAATTATGAAATAAATGGTAATGCTATGGACTGAATTATGTCAACCAAAAATTCATATTAAGAATCTAATCTTCCATGTGCCTGTATTTGGAGATAGAGCCTTTAGGGAAATCATTTAAATTAATAGGGTCATAAGGATGGGGCCCTAATCCCATAGAACTGATGTTCTTATAAGAAGAAGAGACACCAGAGAGCTCCCTGCATGTAGACAGAGGAAAGACCATCTGGGAACACAGTGACAAGCTAAGCCAGGAAGGAGACCTTACCAGAAAGCAGCCGTGATGACACCTTGATCTGGGAATTGTGGCCATGAAAACCAACAAAATAAATTTCTGCTATTTAAGCCACTCACTCTGTGGTGTTTTGCTATAGCAGCCCTAGCAATGAATACAAGTGAAATATAGAAGGTTTATGGATCAGAAAACTGCAAATCATTAATAAGATCATATCTCCTTAAAATAATCTATATAATTATTATTTTCTTCAATATTCAACAAATATTTATTGGATCCCTATTATACACAAAGCATTATATTAGGCCTATGGGATATAAGTGTGACCAAAATAATAATTATCACTACCCTGATAAGCATATATACTTGTTCCTAATGCTTAGAGTCAATTACTTTAGAATATAAAATCTAGAATTTGAAAATTTTTAAGTTGAATACATTGCCAGTAAAAAAAAAAATTTCCTGGAATTTTTGGTGCAATTTTTACATAATTTTAAAATATATATTCAAGTGAAAATGTCCAAAAATAGCCAAGACATGTGAAGAAGAAAAACATGGTAGGATGATTTGCCTAACAAGGTGTAAACATTATTATAAAACTATATTAAGAAGTCAGGATAGATGAATAGACAAACATATGAATTGAACACAACAAGGAATACAAAACCACAAATGATCTATAAATAAAGATTTGACACCTAATGAGTTGGCAAGATTGGAAAGACTTTTCAATGTGTTGTTAGGACAATTCGTTAACCATTATGTTTAAAAACTGAAATTGAACCTATAATTCACCACGTGTATTTTTTTTCTTATTTTAGGTTGTAACTTTTTTAACTTTCAGTTTTTTGTGGGTACACAGAAGCTGTATATATCTATTGGGTACATGAGATACTTAGATACAGGCACACAATTTGTCATAAGCACATCAGGATAAATAGAATATCCATCACTTCAAAAATCTATCTTCTATTTTCATTTTTATATACTAATTTTGTTTTAATTTTTTAAATCAGTCATGCAATGTATAATCATATCAGGATCAGGAGAAATGGGGTATCAATCACCTGAAGCATTTATTCTTTGTGTGGGAAACAATCCAATTATACTCTTAGTTATTTTAAAATGTATGATTAAATTGTTATTGACTGCAGTCATCCTACTGTGCTATCAAATACTGGATCTTATTGATTCCTTCCACTATTTTTGTACACATTAACCACACTTACTTCCTTCCCAACCCCCTACTCCACTTTCCAACCTCTGATAACTATCATTTTACTTTCAATATCCATGAATTCAATTGGTCTATTGTTTAGCTCCCACAAATGAGTTAGAATGTATGAAGTTTGTCTTTTTGTGCTTGACTTATTTTATGTAACATTATGACCTTCAACACCATCCCTGTTGTTGCAAATGATAGGATCTCATTTCATTTTATGGCTGAATAGTATTCCATTGTGTATATGTACCAAATTTTCTTTATTAATTCATCTGTTGATGGACACTTAGGTGGTTTCCATATTTTGGCTATTGTGAATACTATTACAATAAATATAGGAGTGCAGATATATCATTGATACACTGATTTCCTTTCTATTGTGTATATACAGAGCAGTGGCAGTTCTGCTTTTAAAGTTTAAGAAACCTCCAAATTGTTCTACATAGTGGTTGTAGTAACTTACATTCCCACCAACATCGTATGAAGGTTTCTTTTTCTCCACAAACTTGCCAGCATTTGTTATTGCCTATTTTTGGATGAAAGTTATTTTAACTGGGGCGAGATGATAACTTATTGTAGTTTTGATGAATTTCACTGATGAAAAATGTAATGTTGAGCACCTTGTCATATACCTGTTTGCCATTTGTATGTCTTCTTTTAGAGAAATATTCATTCAGGTTTTTTGCCATTTTTAATCAGACGTTTAGACTTTTTTTCCTATTGAGTTGTTTGAGCTACTTATATATTCTGGTTATTAATCTCTTGTCCGATGAGTACTTTGCAAATATTTTCTCCCATTCTGTGAGTTGTCTCTTCACTTTGTTGTTTCCATTGCTGTGCAGAAGCCTTTTGACTTGGTTGGATCCAGCTTGTCCATTTTTGTTTTGATTGCTTATGCTTATATGGTATTACTAAAAAAAATCTTTGCCCAGTTCCAATGTTTTCTTTTAGCAATTTCATACAGAAAGGTCTTATATTTAAGTCTTTAATTCATTGTGATTTGATTTTTGTATAATTGGAAGATAGGACTCCAGTTTCTTTTGACTGCATATTGATATCAAGTTTTTCCAGCACCATTTGTTAAAACAACTGTGCTTTCCCCCAATGTATATTCTTGGAACCTTTCTCAAAAATGAGTTCACTTTTGATGTGTGGATTTGTTTATGTCTTCTCTCATCTGTTCCATTGTTCTATGTATCTGTCTCAATGCCAATACCATGCTGTTTTGGTTACTATATCTCTGTAATACAATTGAAGTCATCAGGTAAGGTTGTTTCCACAGTTTAACTTTTTTGTGCAGAATGGCTTTGACTTTTCTGTTTCTATATAATTTTAGGATTTTTTTTTCTATTTCTGTGAAAAATATTATTGGTATTTTTACAGGGATTGTACTAAATCTTTAGATTGATTTGGGTTGTATATATATTTTAACAATTTGGATTTTTCTAATCCATGAGCATAGAATATTTTCATTATTTTGTGTCATCTTCAATTTATTACATCAATGTATTATAGTTTTCATTGTAGAGTTCCTCCACTTCTTTAAGTTTATTCTCAGGTATTTTATTATATTTGTAGGTATTTTAATGAAATTACTTTTTCAATTTCCTTTTCAGATTGTTTGCTATTTGCATACAGACATGCTTCTGATTTTTGTACATTGATTTTGTAACCTGCAATATTACTAAATTTGTTTACGGTAATCTCATGAGTTTTAATTGTTTTTTTTTTTTTTTTGGTGGAATCTTTAGATTTTCCAAATATATAATCATATCACGTACAAATAAGATCATTTGACTTTTTCTTTATCATTTTGCATTCTTTCTTTCTTTCTTTCTTTCTTTCTTTCTTTCTTTCTTTCTTTCGTTCTTTCTTTCTTTCTTTCTTTCTTTCTTTCTCTCTTTCTTTCTTTTCTTTCTCCCTTTCTCTCTCTTTCTGTTTCTCTCTATTTCTCTCCCTCTTTATCTTTTCTTTCTCTCTTTCACTTTCTGTAGATAGAACTTCCATTACTCTATTGTTGACAGTAGTGAAAGTGGGCATCCTAGGCATCGGTGGTATGTATCACAAAATAATTGAAGCTATGTACAACAATCCCATAGCCAATTTCATACTGAACGGGCAAAAACTGGAAGTATTTCCTGTGAAATCTAGCACAAGGCAAGGATGCCCTGTCTCACCACTCCTTTTCAATATACTATTGGAAGTTCTATCCAGGGAAATCAGGCAAGAGAAATAAATAAAGGGTATTCAAATAGGAAGAGAGGAAGTCAAATTGTCTCTACTTGCTGATGACGTGATTGTATATTTAGAAGACCCCATCGTCTCAGCCCCAAATCTCCTTAAACTGATAAGCAACTTCAGCAAAGTCTCAGGATACAAAATCAATGTGCAGAAAACACAAGCATTTCCATCCACCAATAACAGATAAACAGAGAGCCAAATCAAAAGTGAACTCCCATTCACCATTGGTACAAAGAGAATAAAATACCTAGGAATACAACTAACAAAGAATGTAAAGGACCTCTTCAAGGAGAACTACAAAGCACTGCTCAAGGAAATAAGAGAGGACACAAACAAGTGGAAAAACATTCCATGCTCATGGTTGGGAAGAATCAATATTGTGAAAATGGCCATACTCCCCAAAGCAATTTATAGATTCAATGCTATCCCCATCAAGCTACCAATGACCTTGTTCACAGAGCTGGAAAAATACCACTTCAAACTTCATATGGAACCAAAAGAGAGCCCACATAGCCAAAACTATCCTAAGCAAAAAGAGCAAAGCCGGAGGCATCATGCTGCCTGACTTCAAACTATGCTACAAAGGCCACAGTAATCAAAACAACATGGTACTGGTACCAAAACAGAGACATAGACCAATGGAACACAACAGAGGCCTCAGAAGCCACATCACACATCTACAGTCATCTGATCTTTGACAAACCTGAGAAAAACAAGCAATGGGGAAATGATTCCCTGTTTAATAAATGCTGTTGGGAAAACTGGCTAGCCATGTACAGAAAGCAGAAACTGGACCCCTTCCTGATACGTTACACTAAAATTAACTCCAGACGGATTAAAGATCTAAACATAAGACCTAACACAAGAAAAACCCTAGAAGAAAACCTAGGCAAAACCATTCAGGACATAGGCATAGGCAAGGACTTCATGGCTAAAACACCAAAAGCAATGACAACAAAAGCCAAAATAGACAAATGGGATCTAATTAAACTCCAGAGCTTCTGTACAGCAAAGGAAACAATCATTAGAGTGAACCAGCAACTAACAGAATGGGAAAAAAATTTTGAAATCTACCTGTCTGACAAAGGGCTAATAACCTGAATCTACAAAGAACTAAAACAGATGTACAAGAAAAAAACAAACCCATCCAAAATTGGGCCAAGAATATGAACGGACCCTTTACAAAAGAAGACATCAATGAGTCCAACAAACATGAAAAAAATGCTCATCATCATTGGTCATTAGAGAAATGCAAATCACAACCACATTGAGATACCATCTCACACCAGTTAGAATGGTGATCATTAAAAATCTGGAGACAACAGATGCTGGAGAGGATGTGGAGAAATACGAATACTTTTACACTGTTGGTGGGAGTGTAAATCAGTTTAACCATTGTGGAAGACAGTGTGGCAATTCCTCAAGGACCTAGAAATAGAAGTACTATTTGACCCAGCAATTCCGTTATTGGGTATATATCCAAAGAATTATAAATTGTTCTATTATAAAGACATATGCACACATATGTTCATTGCTGCACTGTTTACAATAGCAAAGATCTGGAACCAACCCAAATGTCCATCATCCATAGACTGGATGAAGAAAATGTGGCACATATATACCATGGAAAACTACACAGCCATAAAAAATGATGAGTTCATGTCCTTCATATAGACACAGATGAATCTGGAAACCATCATTCTCAGCTAACTGACACAAGAACAGAAAACCAAACACCATATGTTATCACTTATAGGTGGGTGTTGAACAATTAAAACATGTGGACACAGGGAGGGGAGCATCACACACTGCGGTAAGTAGGGGAGGCTAGGGGAGGGACTGTGGGGGTGGGGAGGGTGGGGAGGGATAATGTGGGGAGAAACACCAGATATAGGTTTTGGGGGCATGAAGGCAGTAAACCACCTTGTCATGTATGTTCCTGTGCAACAATCCTGCATGATATGCACGTGTACCCCAGAACCTAAACTACAATAAAATAAATAAATAAATAAATAAATAAATCGAGAAAAGTTAAAAAAAAAAAAAAAGAAAGTGAGTATCCTTTTCTTCTTCCACTTCTCAGTGTAAAGGCTTTTAGGTTTTCCACATTCAGTATGAGACTGGCTCTGGTTCTGTCTTTGTTGAGGTATGTTCCTTCTATACCAAGTTTTTAGAGGGCTCCTATCATGAAGAGATTTTAATTTTATCAAGTGGTTTCTCAGCATCAATTGCAATGATAATATAGTTTTTGTTCTTCATTCTGTTGATATAATGTATCATATTGATTTATTTGCATATATTAAATCGTCCTTTCATATCTGGAATGAATCTCACTTGGTCCTAATGAATGGTCATTTTCAACTGTTGTACAATTTGATTTGCTGGTATATTCTTGAGAATTTTTGCTTCAGTGTTCATCAGTAATAGTGATCTGTAGTCTTTTTTGATGTTTCTTTGTCTAGTTTTGATATTATGCTAATACAAGATTCACAGAATGAGTTTCAAACAACTCCCTAATCCTCTATTTTTTGGAATAGTTTCAGCAGGATTAGTATGAGTTCTTTAAATGTTTGGTAAAATTCAGCGATGAAACCATCAAATCTTGGCCTTTTCTTTGCTGGGAGATATTTATTATGGCTTCAATCTCGTTACTTTATATTAGTGTGTTCAGGTTTGGGGTTTTTTATTATTCAACCTTCTTAGGTTGTGTGTTTCCAGGAATTTATCCATTTCTTCTAGGTTTTCCAATTTATTGGCACATCGTAGTTTAGAGTATCCTGCAATGATCCTTTAATTTCTGTGGTATTGATTGTGATGTCTACTGTTTCATCTCTGATTCTATTTATGTAAGTCTTCTCTCTTTTGTTCTTTGTCTGGTTAAAGGTTTTCTGTTTTGTTTATCTTTTCAAATATATGAACTTTATGTTTCATTGGCCTTTTGTACTTTTTTTTCAGTTTCATCTATTTCTGTTCTGATCTTTATTACATTTTTTCTTCTATTAATTTTGTGTTTCACTTGCTCTTGCTTTCCTAGTTCTTTAAGAGGCATCATTAGGTTATAGATTTAAAGTTTTTCTACTTATTAAATATAGGCCCTTATTGCTATAGTCTTTCCTCTTAGTAACGATTTCTCAATATCCCATGGGTTTCGGTAGATTGTGTTTCCATTTTAACTTGTTTCCATAATTGAAAAAAAAAATTCTTCTGAATTTATTCATTTGACCACTGGTAATTCATTAACATATTGTTTAACCTTTTTGCGTAGTTTGCTAAATTCATCTTTTTAATGATATATAGTTTTGTGTAGTTTGCTAAATTCATCTTTTTAATGATATATAGTTTTATTCCACTGTGGTCAGATAAGATAATATTATTTCAATTTTTTGAATTTTTTAAGACTTGCTTTTGAGCTAATACATGGGCTATACTTGAGAATGATCCATGTATTG